CTAATAATTTTTTCCACCACAAGACTTAAACTCTCAATCCTTTAGAGACATGATACATTTTGCGATTTTCAACACCTCCTTAAGCCAAAAGAGACAATTTATAAACCGCGAAAGGGTTTATTAATAATAGATGAAAGGGTTTATTTAGAGATATGATACATTTTGTGATTTTCAACATCTCTTTAGCTATACATATGTCGTTGATGTGATGGTGTTATGGACTTTTAAGTTAGTTTCAAGAATAAATGTGCTTTGATTTTATAGCTTGTAATTAAGACTATCCGTTATACCATCATTAACCACTATAGTAGTGGGTACGTGTCACATCATCACCACACTCCCTACCACTAATTATGGGATGCCTACCACTGAACTAACCACTCCACCTCATTTTTTTAAATTAAATTAATTAAAAATACATTAAAATCATATTTTTTTGTTGAATACTAGTTTTTCATTAAATTAAAATACCACATTATATTAAAAAACACAATAATATTTTTTTTTTTGAAACAAACATTACATTAATTTGAAACACACAACATTAAAAAAAAAACTTAAAAGTGTAACCACAAACAACTTAAACTAGTTTTTAAACCTTATTATTTTTAATGACTAAATTTTAGGCATTCCCTCAACTTTAATCAAGCTTTGACGTGTTTAAACGGTGTGTGTTTCGTATCTTCATATTGATGCATTACCACAGCAAACGACTAGCCTTTGTGTACGTTGTTTATAACAAAGTTATAAATTCCATCAAACTCAAGGCATGCATTTAACCTTCATATCGCAAAACTTCGAACATATTTCATCAAGACTACGACTTCGGCAATCCATTAAATCATGGAAAACATTTCCAACTTTTACCCAAAAATTAGAAGGCATTATAGCATATGAGTCTTCTGAAACTGCTACCCATGCTAGTGTTAAGTTTTCTTCTTAATTTTCTGACCAATTCTTCATTTTAAGAGTCATTGGTTTTGAATTATCAAGCAAACCAAGTGTTTGATTGTGAATAAAATGAGAGAGAAATTGTGTGAGTAGAAGACAGAAAAATTATGATATTCATAGAAGATGTTTAACAGTGTTCGAAAGGTAAAAATTATATATATATATATATATATATATATATATATATATATATATATATATATATATATATATATATATATATATGAACGTTACATGAGCCTTTACTCAACAATCGACTTTCATTGGGCGTTTAGAATCGTGATGGCCACCACAAATTACAACGAAACGGACAAACCATGACCAATCGGGATGGTGTGCACAGCCGTGGTCCGTTGCCACCTCAACCATGGACGCGTTCGTTGGTTGTATACCATATGGTCTAATAAGTTCTATTTGGTTGTATAAAAAAGTTACAAAATAGAACACAAATTTACAGGATGAAAATACATCTCACTTAAGTCGCAGTGTAGCATCACCACTCTAGCTTATATATTTAATTATTTATGCTTCAATTCTTTTAAAAACTCTCTATATATTCATTTTCCTAAGTCATATACTTACGCTAGATCTAATCATATACTTATGCTATTTGATATACCTCTGCCAGTAACCCCATGTTCTGATGTTGGTACGAGCAGCTCGTAAGGTGGAATGCCAGCACCACATCTATTCCTAAGCTTGGGGTCAACGTTCCTCCTCTTGATCTCATTTTCAATCTTTCTAATTTCCATCGAAAACTTATAGAATGCCTCAATAATCTTGGGTTCACCTGGCCAACTTGTGAACATATCCTTTATCTCCCCAAGATACTCCTCCTCATGCGAGTGTGCTGAGATTATATCAAGTACAGCCATGTATTTCGTTGTTTGAAACAAACTAGGCAACGAATCAAGGAAATAACCATGTGGGTCAGCAATGAAACTTGCATACTCGAGTTTATGTTCTTTGGGTATAAGTTTCTACGTCAAAGCGCCACCAGTTACGGTAGGCAGCACAGACCATCTGGGTGCTATATCTTCCAGACGAAAAGCCACTCTCAATAATTCCTTCTGCAGATATAAGGCTCTCACGAGCCATTGCATTTATTCCGAGCACATGTCGCATGTGGGGGTTTAGAAGCTTGAAAACCGGATGCATTGAGCTCAAATGCCGATGCGCAGCTATTATGAATGGTTCCATACATGCATGAACCCGTAACCTACAGATATCCACAACATCTAGTTATTGTCATTATGTGCTTTCTGACGCTGATCCATTTGTATATCATTAATTTTGAAGCATGCATATTTTTTGATACAAAGTCAACAAGAACATTTAAATTATTAACTATACCAATGATGAATAAGTTGGTGAACACCCGCATCATTAGAGCATACATGAGCTTTGCCTAGTTGCCAGAGCCAGTTGGTGGTTGCATCAACAGGAGGAGTGAGAACTTGTTTTGATGGGAGATTGGAATCATTAGGAGGAAGGCTGAGCTCAATTGCAATGGGCTTTAGAGTTCCCATTGTTGTCAAGAAGAAGATTGTACGGGTTCCATATGCTTTCCGGCCTTCTTGAGCATTTATCCTATCTAAAAAAGGGAGGTAAATGTCGTGGTAATCCAATATGAAGAGCTTCTTTTCATCCAATGCCTGAAGGTTTAACCAAAAACAGTAAAGTTTTATTAAAATCCAAACCAAAAAACCCAAACAGTTCTCAAACTATCCCCTGCTGCTAGTATTATTAATTTGCAAGTTAGCAGTTATACGTGTTGTATAGACATGCCGTTGAGATGACATATAATATGTTCTTCCTTAAGATTTGATTCTCGTGGTCCATACATTGAAGGATCAAGTTTGCTCACGGGAGGAAAAACCTGTAGAAATCAAACATAAATGTATTAGAAAGAGGGAAAACTTATTTTCAAAAAAATTTTAAAAAGTCATTATATTATTTTTTAGTACACTAAAACCTCTATATTTTCTATCGAAGGTTTTCTGAACTCAAAAAACCTAATCTATTTTCAAATTAAAAAACCATTATATTTTTTAGTGCTTTTAAACCCTCATATTTTTTAAAATTTTTTTAATCTGATGCATTGTAACAATCAAAACGTTGAGAATTGATTACCTAACATTTTCGGTTATCTATGATTTACCGAGTTCAATGCCTTAAATGATACATTTTAAAAAATATAAGAGTTTTCACGTAAAAAAAAATAAAATAATATGGTGGTTTTTTAATACTTTGAGGAAAATATTTTGGATTTTTATAAGATTTTCCCTAACATAAACTTTGAGATATAATATCTAACTTCTTTTATATATAAATCTAAGCGGCTAGGTTTAACATGATATTGACATAATATTCTTTTGGATTTAATAATATTTTCCTATTAGTGCATAATATGTCAGCGAGAATAAGGCAGTTTGATTAAAAGATATCCAGGATAATCAAGTATACAAAACTGATGTCTTATAAGTCATACTCATGCTTACCTTCAACCTCTCGATGCTAACAGGATTCATTCCTGCAAGAGTTTGGCGACCAAATTCATCATCTCGTACATAGCTTGTAATGTTCCCTGGAATGTCAATGATGTCTTTCTTTAATTTAGAGCTTAATTAATTAGATAGGAACACAAAAAGTTGTAGAAATAACTATTTGATTAGGTTGAAACTCACATGACATGGTTTTTGGAGTCTCAAACTTGAGCATTTCTTTAATATCAAAAAACTTGAACAATCCATATGCATTCAAAATCTCAGCTTGTGATACATTCCTAAAAAGGCCAGCTGCAAGATTTGAAATGTCAATAGAAACTTCATTCCCGTTGAAGAGAGTGGCCACCATGGCTGGAACGTTGTGAAGCACTCCCTTCCATACTCCCATGAAGATGTCTTTGCGCCTGGTCCCCTCTAGAGCTTCATCTCTTGGTACATATGTTGAAGCTTTCAACAAGTCCACTGGCTTTTCCACGTTTACATCTATATAATATTGGTAAATTATATTGGTATTTTTGGAATTTCATGAAAAAAGATATTTAATTAATTCATCTAAATCAATTAACTTGTCAGATTCAAAGAAACTAACATGTAGCTGTGTTGGGACGTCCTGTGCGACAACGTCTGGGATGTGGGTTCTTTTCACCTCCTAATGTTAACCTTGTAAACTCAGCTCCTTTATCAGGATTTCCAAGATCATTATATGTGTCATAATCATATATTCTATCCACAAGTAATCTTTGTCCATTTCCATCACCTCTCTTATTTTTAAGTTCCCTATTTCTCAAGTATTTTAGCCCCTTGGGTGTTTGGCTCGGTAAATATGCCTATCATGTCCAACAACACACGAAGTCAGTGAACTGCCATGTAGATATTACTGAGAATTCGATGAAAGTATGCCTTTTAATAATCATGATGAGTTTTAATGAACTTTTTATGTTAACGACTCAATCATTTACTTACGTTGTTTAAAACGGACCAGTAATTATTGCATGACTGTCTAATTATTAACATAAATAATTAATGACCGAATGAGAAGGCTATCAATGATAAGTATGACGTCGACCCCATTCAGCATCTGTTGGTGATGCTAAATTGTGGGAGCGTAGGATTCTCTATATCCCTACTTCAAGTACATTGCTTATATTGCTAAAAAGTGTAGAGTACATGAGTAGGATGCTATTATAGATAAAAATATATATAGTAAAATGTTGCTATTATGTATAAAAAATAAAATATGTTGTTATTATTATATATATATATATATATATTAAAATTGTAGAGAAAAAGAACAGTTAAATTGAGTCCAGTTTTCATCCCTCGATTTACATATCCGGTCCCTCTATAATTGGTTGTGTGTCACTTCTTTAATTTATTCATGTCATTTTCTTTGATCCATTCCATTTCTTTAATTTATTATTTTCTTTGTCACACGTGTTTGCTTCTTTCAGGAGTGATACGTCTTCTGTACACGTGTCCACTGATTCCTTCACCTGGTTAATCCATCAACAGATTCCACCGCCTCAAATACTTCTTTATTCTTTTTAATTTTTAATCGCTCGCTTCCTCACTTCCACCGCCTCTCCCTTCTTCTGTTTGTCTCTATTATTCCTGTCGATCGTCTCCACCGCCTCAATCCACAAGTTCTTCTAATCACCTTCTGAAGCTGCGGCGCCACCGCCACCGTCACCACCTGCACCGATTCTCCCGGTGGAAGGGGATGAGGAAGACGAGGAATATGAAGCGAAGAAGAGTTATTCCCACCGCACGACCCACCCACCGTCGAAGAGTTCTGAAGCTGCGGCGCCACCGCTGTCGTATTTTTTTACCTCGATCGCCACCACCATCAGCCGCCTCATCTGGACCTGCGATTAGGGCTTGATGAAGATCATCGCTCCTACCGGACTCTCTACACGGTAAGGAATTCGATCTTTTGCTTTTCTTGGTTTGTTACATGTTTGATAGTTGATAAGTGTTGTTACCTGCTCCTACCATCCACTGCTGCCAATCAGCGTTACACGTGTTTTGAATCTACTTCCTCCACCGCTTTTGTTAGCCAAGATGTTCTCCATTTCTCCTCACGATGAACATTATCCCTTTACCCTTACATCGCCATCGATCATCATCTTCCTTTGATTTGCTGGTCTATCCTCGGAAAGTCTTCAGCTACTACTCACCGACTGTCATCGACTTCTATTCACCATTGCAACAACACAGCCTCCACTCCGACCTAGCAAGATAGCGACGACACATGTAATTTTTCGTTTTAATGAGTGTTGGTTTTTTTTAGGTCGATCTGTTTTTTTTTGGTCGATTTGTTTCTCTAATTCATCGTCGTTTCATCTTCATATGTTAATGTTTCGTCTATTCACTTTATCATCTGGTAAACCAGGCAACAACATTTGCTTTTCCAACGGCGTGGATTGTTGGAGATGGTGCGATCGGCGATTGATGTGGCCGCGATGGGTGGAAAACATGAAAAAAAAACGCACACACTTCTCTTATTTCAGTTCTTGGAACCAACAAAAAAATGTTTTTCCTAGAATCGGAGTACACCAAACCACTTCATCGCTCTTAATACTGAAACCAACAGAAAAAGGTTTTTCGTAGAATCGGAGTACACCAAACCACTTCATCGGTCTTAATTTTAGGGCTTGCTTCTTATCTAATATCTTCCGATTGTTCCAAATTTTTTGGGGTGATATCTTCTGCGACTTAATTGTTCGTTTTTGTATTTGTAAGCCTGAATCTTCGATTATATATGTAACACCGCTACAAGATTAAAAACGGGGATGGTTGTGGCAGGTCTGACAGAAGGCGTAAGGGGCTAATTTCGTAAACTTTGCAGATATAACAACTCTCTAAATTCAGCTGTCAGGTAAGTTTTCTCCCTCTATTCTTCTTTCTTCTGTGCATATAAAAATCTGCTCAAGATAGTTCCATATCTCTTGCTTTAGTTTTTTTTTCAAATGGCCAATGGGCATTGTTAGATTAAAACATGAACTGAAGTTATTGAAGTTATGTTGATTGAGAGCGAGAACAGGGACCTGATACATAAATTTGTTTCATTTTGTAATTATTAAATGAAGTAATGTTGATGTTTAATTAGTTCAATGAGATTATTGAATCATTATTGATACATTATGACGTACTTATTTGTTTCTTTTGTTCTTCAATTATCATGTATTTTGTGTTTTGATTACATTTTGTTGTTTCTATTTTGTAGGTCATGTGTTTCTTATGGTATATTTTTTTACTTCATGTTTCGCTTTGTTTTCGTTTTTATTTGTTGTTATTATTGTTATTGTGCTTTCTACATTCTGTTTTTATATTTTGCAGTTTTTATTACCTTTTTTGGGTCGTTTTGGGCGTTGGGTTGCTTCCTGGGCTGGTGGTGTCTGGAAAGAGGAAATCTGATGGGTTTTTAGAAAACATTAAACATCAGCTGAAGGTAATCTTTAATAATCTTCTTTTAGCAGTTTTTTTTGGTTTGAAGGTATTGTTCCACATCTGGGATTAATTGTGTTTTCAAGCTTGTATCAATTTTGAATGAATGTGAGTAGAATATGTGATTTTGAGTGATGTCATCTCCTCAAACATTTCCAATTGATCTTATGGTCTGATATGGGTATGATTTCTTTTCCATGTGCCAGGTTAATTGGATGACGCTTCAAGGAGTTAATTTTGTCTTTTGTATCTATTACAGAGCCATTGGCATAATTAATTTAAAGGTACAACCTTTTGGGCAACCCTATAGTATTTATTCCTTATCAAATAATCGAAAATTGAAATAACAACAACCTCTCGGATCAAGAAATGTAAGTTGTTGTTCATTTGAATACTTAATTATAATAAACTCAATTTGTTTATGGTTACTGTATTTCTGATGTACAAAAGCACTGTTGATTGTATGGTTAAAACCTTAAGAGTTAACTTATTTGATCATTACTGGTTTCCTGATTTGATTCTTTTATAATATCATTATCATCATTTAATATCTGATTGATGACCAGGAAGTCTAGCATTCTATAAAAGATTCCTCTCAAATATTGGTCGGCTATAATCGTGGAATGTCATAATGTTTTTGACACTTGAGAAAGTAATATTCTGTTTTTTAACATATGAAGATGATCAGGTCTTTCCTCATCAAAGGCTATAATTTTTTTACGTTTCTTGGGTTTTATCTTTCTTTTTACTTCAGAATTGATAGTTATAACGAAATTGGGCGTTATTAGTTGATTTTGTGGTCAAACTGATTCTGAATAGAGGGATAGAGTAATTCAATTGCCAAACTATGTTTACCGCTTTTTCATTTTGGGGATTCTCTATGTTCAAAATAATAAAGTGGATCTAATAGGTTGAACAAGTTAGAAGCTACTCAAAGTATAATCAAATGTTTGCAACCTCCTAGAGCATTTTATTCAAAAAACTAGATCATTTTTTTAATAATAGTTTCTTCTCACTATATTTAATATATAATGGTTTATGAAGTTACGAAATAGAGAAAAACATGTCTGAAAATATAATTTCTTCATCTTTTATAAATCTGACTCATGTGGGACAATTCAATATGTTTTGTGGAATACAGTTTCCAAATCTTAGCCCTCTTAAATCCCATGGAATTGCTAGAAACAGAGTATGGACCAAGGAGAACAATTCCCATCTTCTTCAATCCAAACCCATTAATGGAGTTTCTGTTGATTTGTTACTTAAGCCCACTGAAGATGATTTGATGAAATGGCCTAACAGGTACATACTTTATTGATTTTATTGTATTTTTATCTTATATACTTTGTGCTTTTACTTTCTCATTGATATATATATATATATATATATATATATATATATATGTATATATATATATCTTCATTTGTAGATTTGAGTATAGACTGAGGATTACTCTTGACATTTTGATATTTATATTTGTAGTGAAGTTGAGTATGGATTTGGGAAACTTGATTATGTTGACAATACAAAGAACATGACAACATTTACAAAGACACGGGATACAATAACCATTAATTCGGAGGTAACTTTGATTTTTAACTCTTCCCTCTCTTTGATTGTTTTACTTTACCATGGTTAGTTTAGGCTTTAACTATTGTCAATTATTTACCCAGCTTGATAGGATTTATCTCAGCACACCAAAAAAACTAGCAGTTCTTGATCATAAAAAGTAACAAACAGTTTCCATTGAGAAAGATGGAATTCTTGATGCTGGTGAGATTTTTCCCACTTTAGTGTTAGAAAGGGTAAGATGGTCATTTATTCATATTTACAGGTGTTTTCAACAAAAAGAAGCGTAATTTCTAAGAAAAGCCCCGTTTACATTCATTTATTATCTATCTGAAACACTAACGTACTTACATGTCTGTACAAAAACAACAATGTAGTCTAAATTTTGCTACAATATACTTAATTTTTCCTAAAAAATTATTGTTTTTTCTGCAGTTATTTCTGCCACGTAGGGTTCAAGTTGAGAAATCCATCAAAGTTTCTAATATTCAATACCTTGAGGTAGATTCTAATTGTGGTCAACAAACACGTTTCATTTACCTTTAATTTAAAAAAATGACAATTAGGGGAAATGGTCCCAAAAGTTTTGTTTTGTTTTGTTTTTTTAAATAACATATTCTTGATGGATAAGGGTAGATATTGTAACCTTTTTAGTATGCACAATTGCATCCAAAAAAATGTCAATACGATAATAATAGAAAATATGTTTTCTTTTCTTCAGGTGGCTTTATTCAAGTTATGAGGAATGAGATTTCGACTCGAAATGTTTTTACTATCAGCCAAAAGCGTTAAATGCAAAAAATAGCAACGCACACTAATTTATTTGTTTACTTTCATTTCTTACATTAGGACATTATATTATATTCAATCTATCCGGTTGCCAAGTATTTGAATGCCATTATAGCATCCTACTTTCGTGACCTGCCAAACATCAACAAAAAAAATCTGACCCGTGCAACGCACGGGCCTCATTTCTAGTTATAAATAAAAAAAATGTAAGTACATTAACTATATGGCTGAAAAGAGCAAAATACGTTGATATTATGGATACAAAATAAATTATGTTGTCATTATATATAGAAAAAAATATGTATGTACGTGGCCATGACGGATAAAAATGTAACTAAATTGCCTACAGTGGTAAAATGTATGTTGATATTAGGAATAAAAAGTACAAAATGTTATTGTTATACAAATAAAAAATATAAACATTTTATTATATATGGATAAAATAATGCAAGTACATTGCTTGTATTAATAAGAAAAAGTAAAATACGATTGCTATTATGGATTAAAAATATACTATCTTGTTATATATAATTACTATAAAAATATAAATATTTTATATTGTCTACTTCCCTATTGTTTGTTTTATCATTTTGTGGTAAAAACGAATAAGTACAATGTTATTTCCATTTTTATATGCTTAATTACTAATTATATGTGTTCGTTTTAAAAAACATTTAACCACTAGACATGGTCTATATTAGTAAAAAAAAAGGTATGTTGTTATAATAAATTAAAAATAAAAATATGTTTTTATAATGGATAAAAACAATGTTGTATTGTCTACTTAGGTGTCGTTTGTTTTATCATATTTTTGTAAAAAGAAATGCTGTTTAATTTCATCTTTATACTCTTTATCACTTATATATGTTTGTTTTAAAATAACATCTAAGCACTTGGAGGCGAGACTTATATATGTTTGTTTTAAAATAACATCTAAGCACTTGGAGGCGACACTTGAAAGGGAACAAACATAACTAGAATAGATTGAAGTATCTCTTCAACGAAAAATAGGAGAAGAAGGCGAACAATCTGATGCTCGTCTTCGACAACAAATACAAGAAGAACGTGAAAATCTGAAGCGTATTTTGCATAAACAAATGACTTGACTTTTGAAGAATTCACATACAACGGTAACCCACCCGACTCAGCTTAGTAGTTGAATTTTTGTTGGAAACTTTTTAGTATATTTATTGTTTGTGGAGTTTGTATTGAAAACTTTTTGGATTTTTAGTTATTGTTTGTGGTTGATAGTTTGATACCGTAAAATAGCAATTAATTTACCCACGGGATTTTGTTGCTAAAAATCGCGTGTGCAATTGCCAGGAAAAATATCTGTAGCTAAAAGTATCAATAAAGGCCTTTTGTTGGTAATGTGTTGTATAAATAATCCATTGACTACAACTTTATTGTTGGTGATTTTAGTGTCATCATGTCATTTTAAGTAACTGGAACTAACATGTGAGGTAAGGGGCTTCATAATTTGTACTCTATTATATGTACGGAGTTGTGCGGAGTGCACGCATGTATAAGATCGAATTAGAAGCCGGTTCGACGACTAGTCGGGGGGTCCGGGGGCAGCGCCCCTTTGGCGGGGTCTAGGGGCAGCGCCCCTAGCGGGGTCCAAGGGTCAGCACCCCTTTGGCGGGGTCTGGGGTTTCCAAAGGGGCAGCGCCCCAAAACCTCACCGAATTTTACTTATGGGTCCATAGTGGAAAATTCAATTTCTTGAGGGTGTTTATGGTAAAGCTAACGAAACTCGTTAGTTTTGATAACCCTAAATCCTCATTAAATCCGGATTAATATTACTTGCTTCCAAATCAACTAATGACGGTCCAACCTAATGAAACCCTAATATCGTTTATTATATAAACGGCTCTTCTTTTCAGAAGAGGGTGACGATCTTGAGCTCTCGTATTTCATCACACTTTCACATAATCCTCTAGCATATTGGCTTACGATTTCTATGCCAAGAATCGTAAGTGTCCACTTAGATTATCCTAGGCTGAATTTCTTGTAACCCAGGCATAGGGTAGAAATATCAGTTCGAAAAGTGATATCACGATCCAAGTCGGTATCCAGATCTCCACTACAAACCCTAAATTTCCCTACATTTATCTGTCAAAGTCTGTTACTATCTGGACGGACTGCGTTACATTGGTCTCTAAGTCCGTCCGTGAATTTCTAGTACTGTCAATTTGGTAAATTTAGTGACCACTTAAATCATTTTTCGGAAGCCTTTGCCATGTCAACTTCACAGCACATGGCAGGCTACGTTTAGAGCCACACAATCATGCATTTTTGTTACTATGACGTATGCAAGTTTAATACCTGCAACATCTTTATGCACATCTAAACACATTGACCAGATCATCATTAAAATTAATACAACGATCATCAAAATATATGTACGTGCGTCTCATGAGAAAGTTGGATCCAGGATGTCAGGATGATGATCTATATATATATATATATATATATATATATATATATATATATATATATATATATATATATATATATATATATATATATATATATGTACCTTATTGGAAAAGAATATCCTTTTCTCTTTGCTAGTATTAGCTGGTTGAATCCAGGAGTTGCATGAAAAGTGGAAACAATCTTCAAGAGAGATTGTCTCTACAAACAACTCCTTGTCATAATGGTTTCTCACCAGAATGGCTCCTGGTTCTCCAAAGTCTTCATCAATTACCAACTTAACTTTAAAGCTGAAACACCCTGTATCATTATCTTTTAAAGATGTACATTTGGACCAGTCTAATACAGATTCCTTGCTCACCTTTGGCTTCATGCTACCTTTCATGGAAAAAAAAATAACAATATATATAGTCTTATTAGGCATCTTAATTGTGTGCATGTTATATTAATTGTAAGAAACACAGAAATTAATTAATATGAAACCACATAAATCATACTTACTTGGATCTACTTGGGTGCTAACTAGTTGAAAAACAAAACCCTTGTCTACAAACTTGTACGAGGAATCTTTTTGCGAGTGTAACCATGGGAGTTCCGTCAACTTCTTAAGCACATTGACTTCCTTGCTTATCCGGACATTGACTGTTGCCGTTACCTTTAACCTTGAGGACACATCAACATTTACTTTCTCTATGAAATCCTCCGTGGCCAAGGAGGCTTTCACAAACTTTAGGGTGCAGCCAGTTTTCAATTTCTTGCTGGATGAAACCAACAGAGGAACGTTAGATATTGTACATGAACTGATAGAATGGCTAATAGGGTAGATTGGATCAATGTTTCTTGTGTTTGTCCGCTTGTAAGATAAAGAAAAGGAAGTGAACATGTTAATTGTTCCCGACATTTTTGGTTTTCAAACAAGATCAACTTTATCTACTAGTCTTATGTTATGCTGTTTCATTAAATCTGAGTTATTCTGCGCGCATTATATAGAAATATTGTATCTACACACACATGCAATCATCCCAAAGTACGATGTAGCAAGCATCTTAAATTGATCACGTGTTAAATAAAACCCATGTGGTGTGACATGATATGTGGTAGTAATTACATGGTTCTAAAAATATCTGTCAAAACTTACAAAAGCCTGTGGAACCGACCACTTATAGTTCTGGTGACGTATCAATCCTTGGATCGTAATACATATGTGTGACATACGCATACTCATGGAAATTACATCGAAGGCCAAACAATTAATAAAGGTGTGGTATATAATTTGCTTTGATAATGCTACAGGAAGAGGAAGATCGGAAGAAGAAGCGCGGTTATGTATTGGAAAAGGTACTTGTACAGTTGTACTAATTAACTAGGCGAATGTCCGTGCGTTGCGCAGAAACACCTATACAATTGAAGTTTTTACAAATATATGTTTTTTTAATATAGCAATAACGTTGCTGTTAAATTTGATAAAATAATTTGTATACTAAATTGATATAATGTATTGATTATTTTGAATTATATGATAATACATACATTTATTATAACTGCGTAATCTCAATTGTTTGAATGACTTCTACCCGCGATTTACACATGAATAAAATTAAATATAATATATGGTTTAATGTTATTTTTAGTTGTTGTTATTGTTAATTAATTTTTTAAAATTTATTTGCTTAATGTTTTAATTTTTATCATTACAATTATTTAAAACATCAAACATTGTTTTTTGATTTTAAAGGTAACAATATAATCATTTATATAGAGTTATTTTTAACTATTGTTATTGTAAGTTATTTTAAGCTACTTATTTGAAAACTTTTAACGTTTATAAAAATATCTTTAGAAAATATTTTAGTTAAATTGAGATTACAATTTAGTTTTTGCATTTATCAATACAATTTATCACTGTTAACTATTTACAAAATATTCTTTGGTTTTTTAAATGAAACTGAAATTTATATTTAAGTTGACATTGTAATGTTATATTTAAAATAACAATTTAACTATTTTGTCCAAATTGTTCAAAAGTTGTAGCTTTAAACTGATAATAGTTTACATACAACAACATATTAAATCTAATAAATTAAGTATAATATGTTAAAAGTTAAAGACATAACTTTATAAGTAAAAGTAAAGATATTATTTTAAAATTGAAATTTAGTATATATTTATGATTACACTTTAGGTTTGATATTTATTTAATCTTATTAACCAAATTATAATCATTATTAGAAAAACACTACAATTAATCACTTTTAACTATTTACAAAATATTCTTTGGGTTGTTTAAGTTAAACTAAAATTTATATTTAGGTTAACCATGTAATATTATATTCAAATTAATAATTTAAGTATTTTATACAAATTGTTCCAAAATTGTATCTTTAATATGATAATGGTTTACATCCAACAATATATTAAAACTAATAAATTAAGTATAATATGTTAAAAGTTAAAAAAATCACTTAATGAGTAGAAGTAAAGATATTATTTTAATATTGAAATTTAGTTTATATATGATTACACTTTAGGTGTCGCATTTATTTAACCTTATTAACCAACTTATAATCATTATTAGAAAGAAATTGAAAAGTCATGGGAGTTTCAAATGAATGTGGTGAAAGGAAAAATGCATGAGAGTTTCAAATGAATGTGGTGAAAGGAAAAATGTTTCCTTTATAATATAGTATGATATGATATGATGATTACAACCAAAAGAATAAAAAAGCTAAATAATCTACTAATAAAAACAAAACCTAAATAGGCTTATTCTCATCTTTTTTAAGCATG